CATCAACTTCCCTCAGGGGAAGGCCTGACATATGGGATATGACATGGGGATGCCACAGCAGATGGCAGAGGAGCCCTGGGAACTGCTGGGAGGGATTCCTATCTCAGGACAGTGCCCAAACTGTGGGCTTCTTGGGTGGAGTCCAGGGCCCACCCAGATTCTCTTCTTGCCCCAAAGAGGAGGGGCCTCTTTCTGAGCTGTATGTTTCTTCTTTGGAGAGCCTCTTCCCACAGGCCTTTTCTCTTCCCTGCTGTGGACCTCTTCTATCACCAAGTGCTCTTTCTCCCAGGCTTACGAGTATCTCCAGGGGCTCAAGGCTGTGAGAGTTGGACTGAGCTGCCTCTTGGTCCAGCTGGACCTGCATAGCCCCAGAGGTCATTTCCTCCCTATACTTTAGATCACTTGTGAGGTGGGGCTGTGCTGGCATCCCCTGTGTGGGCTCTGGGAAGAATAAATGGAAGAATACAGAGGATCAGGCTGGAAAGGAAGCTCTAAGAACTTATTAGTGAGTAAGAATGAATATGTGACCATGTGATTGATTGATTTGGGTACTGAAGACTGAACTCAGTAGGTGCTTTATTACTGACCTACAATCTCCAGCTCTTTTTTTTTTTAAATTTGATACAGGGTCTCACTATGTTGCTTAGGGTCTTGCTAAGTTCTTGAGGCTGGCCTTGAATTTGCAATCATCTGCCTCACCCTTCAGAGTTGCTGGGATTAAAATCATACACCATTGTGCCTGGCTAACCATGGCAGTTTTAACCAGTCTTCTGCCACCTCTATGTTCAGTTATCCTAGGTGACCTTAGGTCTCCTGACTTAAAATACCCTGGGACCCTCTGGAGAGAGAGGTTCATCTGGGAATGGTCTCCATTCCATCCTACAGGCTGAAGTGTAAATTGGAACAAGCCCTGTGGCCTCTAGCAGAGCTGGGAAGAGGATGTGGCAGCCAGGTCATAAGACTGAAGGAGACTGAGAGGGATCTTCTCAAGTCACTGTGGAGCCTATGTCACCACGGCTGTGGGTTTGGTGGAGGACTGCCTAACACTGTGGGGGCACAGAGAGTAGGCTGTGAGGTGGGAAGGCTCAGGTAGGGAATCCTGGGTATAGTTGGACCATGCAAATAAATCCCTTTTCCAGTTACAACCCTGGGCACTGGGGCACTAGGAACACCCGACTAGGGTATACATGTGTAAAGGATACAGAGCCTCAAGGTAAGGCCACCTGTAGTATCATTCCTACTGGGATCAGACCCCAGTGTGTGTGGGGCAGAGGCAAAAGAGAGACCAGGAATGTAAAAATGCTCAGACTTCTCATCTGTTAGATGGGGACAGGAAGGGGTCTCTAGCAGAAGAGACAAAGAATGGAAAGATGGACAGAGGACAGATAGTGAGAAGGGAAGGTGCCAGCGGAACCAGAGAAGATGAAAAAGACATCTCTGAAGCACTTGGATATGGTCCTCACTGGGCCATCACATCACTGCAGGGACTGCTTGCTCAGGTTTGCAGGACCAGGTTCACAGAGACTGTCTCTGCCTCAGAAATTTACTATTAAATATTGAGATTCTTTTGGGCTGGGGTTCTGGCTCAGTGGTGAGCACTTGCCTAGCACGCATGAGGCAATGGATTTGATCCTTGGCACTGCATAAAAGTAAATAAATAAAAGTATTGTGAAAAAACTTAAAAAATATATTGAGATTTTTATTTACTTTTTTTTTTTTTTTGGTACTTGGGATTGAACCCAGGGGGCCTTAACCACTGAGCCACATCTCCAGCTGCACCCCTCTTTTTTAAAAAAAATCTTTATTTTGTTTATTTATTTTTATGTGGTGCTGAGGATTGAACCCAGGGCCTCACACATGCTAGGCAAGCGCTTTACTGCTGAGCCACATTCCCAGCCCCTGCCCTCCCCCTTTTTAAAATAATTTTTAGTTGTGATGGACACAATACCTTTATTTATTTATTTTTTTATGTGGTGCTGAAGATGGAACCCAGTACCTTACTCTTGCTAGGCAAGCGCCCTACCACTGAGCTACAGTCCCAGCCCACTCTCCAGCCCCCTTTAGAAATATTTTATTTATAGGTAGGGTCTTGCTGAGTTGCTTAGGGCCTCGCTAAATTGCTAAGACTGGCTTTGAATTTGTAATCCTCCTGCCTCAGCCTCCTAAACTGCTGGGATTACAGGCATATGCCACTATGCTCAGCTAAATATTGAGATGTTTGAAGAGAATGTCTTTGTATCAAAGAGAATCACACTGGACTGATTCTGAGAAGACACATTCTGTTCTGTTTTGTAGTGCTAGGGATAGAATCCAGGGCCTCTTGAATGCTAGGCAAGTGCTCTCCCTGAGCTCCACCCCTGCCTGCTTGATATGTTTTGATTATCCTCTCCAGAACTCACTGTGAAGCTTAATCCCTAGTGTAACATTGTTGGGATGTATTGCCTAAAGAGAGGTGTTTAGGCCTCTTGAAGTCATCTTGGCTTCTGCTGGCATGTGCTCCCTCGTGTGTCTGCCATGTTATAATGTGGCTCTTAAACTTCCCAGCCACAAGGATTATTAGCCAAATAAATTTCTATAGTTTATAATTTGCCCATCTAACCAGGCATGGTGGTGCAAGCCTATAATCCCAGTAGCTCAGGAGACTGAAGAAGGAGGATAGCAAGTTCAATGCCAGCCTCAGCAACTTACTGAGGACCTGAGCAATTTAGCGAGACCCTATCTCAAAATAAAAAATAAAAAGGGCTGCGGACGTGGCTCAGTGATTAAGTGCCCCTGGGTTTAATCCCCAGTACTAATAATGATAACAATAATAATAACAATTTGCCCAGTGTATGGTCTTCAGTTGTAGCAGCACAAACACATGAAGACAACACTGTTTTAATTTCATTTCCCTGGGGAACTTAGTCTCCCATCCTCCCAGGCCAAATATTGAAATTGGAGAGACCATTACTGACATTCAGGGTCCACAGGAATCAGCTGGCACACCAGAGTAGGAAATACAAGGGCAGTTTAATAAAGGACCATTTATGGAAGTGTGGGTATACAAGAGACATTATGCTTCTAGCTCAGGAGTTGGTTAACAGTAGGACACCATATTGCCCCTTCCCCCACTGGGGCCTGAAGGGGCCAGAGGAGGAAGCTGTGGAGAAAGACAGCCCACCTAGGCCATCCACTCCCATCCTGTGAAGCTTTCTGCTGCACCCAGCAAAACTGGTCCTCCCTAAGGCACCCCCAGTGTGGCATGCTCCCCTATTCCCATCAAACTACATCTAGTGGACCAGGTCAAGGGCCACAGTTCAGAGAAGGGCCCAGTAAGACTGCTTTTGGGAATCTGGAGTATGCAAAGCTTTAACTACAAGATGGTCACTGTAGCACCACTGCTTAAAGCTAAAACATGGACACAAATTGTGGGCTGATAAAATGAACTTTGATCTGTCCACACCAAAGAAAATTTAGCTGCTGAAAGGACAGGAGGCTCAGTGTGCACCTACAGTGAGAGGACTCCAGGCAGGCCATTAGGAAGGCAGCCTGCCAGACAGGGAGCACAGCACAAGGTCATGCTGAGAAACAACAAACCAGCCACCAAACGTGGTTTGCACACAAGAGAACACAGCTCAGAAGGAATAGTAATAACTGTTATCCAGACTCATTTCAGGAGTGCAACCAACCTGAGGTGGGGCTTTAAGTCTGTATTTCATATGCTTTGTACTGTTTTGCTTTTTTATTTTTTACAGTAAGCACACAATTTCTTCAAATGCAATTTATATAAAGAAGTGTTTTTATATATATATGTTTTATATATCATACATATGTAGAGAGAGAAACTGGGAAAAAGGTAATGAGGTAATGAACAGAAAAAGTATGCCATTGTTCATTATAATTTTGATGCTTGGTAATTGTTATTAGTCAATTAACATTTACTGGGCACATGAGGTGTGGGTGCTGACCAGCACAGCTGCCTACAAAATGCTCACCATCTACAGGCAGCAGACAGGGATACTGGATGTACCAGCAGAGGGCAGAGATGAGTGGCATGGGGGAGGGTGGGAAAGTTAATAGCAGTGACGAGGGTCGGGAAGGACCCCATGGAGGAGCAAAAGGAGGGGCACAGAGGAGGGCATGTACTCTGGGCAGAGAGCTGGGGGTGTTCCTGCCTACTCTGGGTTTGCAAGAGGAAATGGTGGAGTCAGAAACATGCCAGACTCTGGAGAGTCTCTTAAGTCCTCTATAGATGAGTAGTGGTCAGATCACAAAAGTCCTGCAGATATAAGGCCAATGGGAGAGAGAGAGGCAGGAAGGCAACGGTGGTCACCATGAGTGCCATAGCAGGGCAGAATAAAGTTCAGGGGATAAGAAGTGAGTTATCCAAGGAGTGGCCATGAAGTCCTTCATCTCACAGTATGGCAAAGGAAATTCATCCTCTAGATGGGCCAGACGTGTGAGCAGCTTGTTCTGTCCATTGTTGCCCAATGACCTGGAGGGCAGGACCATGGGGATCTCAGAGGTACTAGGGAGGAACCTGAGAGACTTTCTTGTCCATTGCCTTTGAGAGGAGCAGGGCTGCCCAAGGAACCCAGAAGTCTGTGGCAGAGGAACAGTGCACAGTGAGGCCTGGAGTTCCAAGCCTGGAACTTCATGTCCCATTGATAATAGAAAACTCCCTGGTAGGATGGCAAATAGGTTTTCTCCTTGACAAATTCTGGTCACCTGGAACATTGTAATGAGAAGGATTCTGAAGCCACATCTAAGATCTTTGGAAAGAGTGCCAGGGTTGACTGCTGATGTGGGCCATGGGTGAAAGATGTAAGACAATGCAGGAGTGTCCTGAGCTTGTAGCCCTGAGGCCTCTCAAGGCCACAGATGACTTTCTGATGACCCTAAGACTGGCCATTTAAGGAGCTCATTGAAATACCTACAGGCAGGCATGATGCCCCTTGGTAGGCAGTGTGGAGTGCTCTGGCAGTCAGTGGCTCCTGACCTGCCAGAAAAACGGCTGATCCTTGGGAATGCAAGCCCTCTACACCTAGAGGGGAGACATGCTGCAGAGTTCAAGCTCCATGTCACCTCTCCATCATCACAGGAGCTGCTGCCCATGCACCCAAGGAGTGGAGGCCTCTGATGCTTGCCCAAGCTAACAGCAGCTCAGGCTGGAGGGCCTCTTGTTCTCCTGGGTCTCCAGTGGGCTCCCCTCCATTCCTGTAGAGAGGAAAAGTAAGTTGGTATCATTCAAGCATCTTGCAGCCAACACTGGGCAGGGGCCACACCCACTCTGACAGTGGGTGCCCTGACCTTTATCTCCTAGGCCTATTGTTTGAGGCTTGGGGAAAGAAGCCTAGGGGTACTCTGGGTGGTGGAACAGAGTGGGTAAAGGCAGAGACTAGGAGAACCAGAGCAGAGCCCTAGGAGGCTGTCTGGAGGTCAGGAAGGATGACACAGAAGGTGTCTGAGCTGGAAAGCAGGATTAGGGAGGCTGCAGGTCTGAAACTGGAGCAACATCCCAGAGAAGAGGGTCCAAAGAAGACAATGGAGGGCCATAAGTTAAGGAAACGGGTGATGGGAGGAGAGTGGATATAGATTTTTGGCCTTCAGCCTGCTCCCCAATCATGTTTAGTCATGGCTGTACGTACGGATGAGGTCTCCATCGCCAACCTGGGGCCGAGTGCCATTTCTCTTCTCCAGATCCTGCAGTACTGACTGCTCAAATGCTAAGGCAGCGACCCGGCTGAAGAATGCCTTCACGTTCTCTCCTGAGGGCCCACAAGATAGCTGTGTGACCCCAGCTGACCCCCAAATGTATTTGAGCATAGAAGCCAGGATAGCCCACCCTCATGCCAGCACCTGGCCCTTTCTGGAGTACCTCTGACAGTAATGGTGACTGCCTGAACACAGTCCCACCACCCATCTGGGAACTCACAGTGCTGGGGGCAAGGCCCCCCAGCTGGCTTCAGCCACATCTTCCCACCTGGCTCCAGCCCCCATCCCTGACCCAGCTGCCTGCCTAGGCTACTTCCTCAGACCTCCAAGCCTTCATTCCCTAGCATCTACGCTTCTAATCAATTGCTATTGAGCACCTGCTATGGGCCAGGTGCTGGCACAGGCAGAGTTCAGGACAAACCTGTGACTGCTCTCCTGTAACTTTCCACATGCTGCTGGCCCTCAGTATGGAGCCTTTGTGTGTACTCTTCCAGGTAGAGGCAACTGCCCATCAGGAAGCAGACTAGGCTCCAGCACCCAATAGGAACACTGCCTTTGTGCAGTTCGTAACCTACATAACAGCACAGGGCCTTCTGGCTTGGTCTATAGTGAGGTCTCAGTGAACCTGAGGTTACCCTGATAAAGGAGGGTGGGTCTTCACAGGGCAGAAGGGACACTATTGGGATGGAACAGAGGGCACCAGGCACAGGCACTTCCAAGCATTTATGGTGGGCCAATGTTGGTTCTTCTACCCTTGGCTCTCACTCAGTCTGGGACCAGATGTCCACTGTCTCTGCTTGGCCAGGGTAAGGACTATTGGGCCCAAATCCTAAGTCCTGAAAGCCTCTGCAGTCTATTATATGCCAGGCACTGCATGCTCTTTCATTCAATCTCCCCAGAAACCTGCTTTCAAAGTTTGTTCTTTGCTTAGAGAAGGATTTCCTAATTTTTCTTCAATAAATACATATGGCTTTTATAATATAAATCATGTTATTTCATTAAAAATAAAATGAGACGGATAGCATCACTCTGCTTCTCAGCTAAGGAGATTTAAGGCCAGGAGATGTTGGGCATCTTGCCTGGTTCTGGGGGACCCAGCATGGCCAGGGTCAGACCACCTATGGATAGCCATGGGGGCTGTGTTGAAAAACATGCCAGTAAGGCAATGGCCAGAGGTTGCTATTTCTCTCACCCATGACATGGGCCTCCCAGTGTCCTTCCAGAGAGGAAGAGACTCCTCTCAGGCAATGGAAATTGCTGTCAGTCACTAGTACCAGTACAGCTGTGCCGTGATACTAGCATGGTCAGAGATGCAAAAGAAAACGCAAGAATCTCTGTGACACAGCAAGTCCTGCAGAACTGGCCCCACAACAGCCCACACTCCCCCCATGATGATGGCCCCTTGTCCTACTCACCAGTCTTGGATGACACTGACCAGTACTCAGCCTGCATCTCATTGGCCAGGTGCACAGCCTCCAGTTCAGTTTGTTCACATGCTGCTACTGACTGGAAGAAGCAGTATTCACTGACCCAGTGTCCTGGCCCTTCTATAGGGATGCCCCTAAGGGTAGGCAGCGGTTCCCTTTCATTGTGCCACCTCCCTCCCCAGGTCACCTAGGGAAGGTAAGGCAACCCCAGTGCAGAGATGCTGTTTGCCCAGGGATGACACCTCAGTGGTATGAGCACCCTGAACAGGCAAATATGAGTGCCAGTTGTCCCTCTCTTAGGAAACAGCACAGGGAACTTGAATTCCCCCTGACTTTCAGCTCCAAGGCCTGCAGTCTTTGAATTCCAAGGCTTTTTATGTCAATGCCACCCCCACTCCTCAAACTTGAGCTGAATGTGTAGGAATTTTCCTGAGGGCCACCCAGGCCTCCAGCTCTGCTCTGCTTACCAGAAGGTCCTTTTTGGTTCCCACGAGGAAGATGAAGCAGGAGCCTGCCTCATTCTCCCTTAATGCATCCTCCAGCCACTGCCTGGAATGCACAGAGGGAAGACAGCCTGAGATGCCACCCACCCATTCATGTCTTGAGGACCAGAGGACAAGGTCAAGACTTGACTCCTCCCCAGGACTGGAAGCACTAAGATGGAAGGTTCAGGGAGGGTGCTTTGGCCCACACTGGCTTAGTGGGGATGCTGGTCCTACAGACAGAAAGACTTTTGTAGGACCAGAGGGGATTGGCAATACAAAAGCACTAGTCACAGGGAGATGAAGAGCCCATCCTCATCCTCTTGGTGAGTCCTGCACTTTATCAACTGGAATGCATTCCTGCCTCCCTCACATGCTTTGGAGGTTTTTGGATGTGAATGCCTCCAGACAAATGAAGGGTGAGGGGGCTTTAGTTCGTGGCAGATGCAGGATAGCCTCCTGGAATTGGTGACATTGCCCATGTTTCTTCTAAGACAACAAGTACCAAATTCATGTTCCTTCAAGACAGGGCTGGCTCTGAAATTATCAGGGCCTAGGGAAAAGGGAACAGAGAGGTCTCCTCATTCAGAAATGATTAGAACACTCAAGATGTGATAGCAGAGTGGCAGAGCATTTTGGGGGGAGTGGGGTGGGGACTGAACCCAGGGTCTCATGCATGTTAGTCAAGTGCTCTCCCACTGAGTCACATCTCCAGCCTGACATCAGGGTATTAAAGCAAATGTGGGTCTTTTGGAGCAAGAGTTGTGGTGCAATTGCATTGGTTATATACCCCTGAGTAGCAGATGAGGACAGATCTTGAGGGATAAAAAGGCAACTGAACAGTAGGTGGCCTATGGGCAATTGGTTCTGACAAATGAGCCTGGTCACTTAAATCCATTTTGGGGGTCCCTAGTGGCCAGGTTTAGGGAGTTCTTCTAGGCAGGTTCCTGAACTTAGGTGGCCTGAAGGATTCACAGGGTCCAGGATTACTTGCCTGGTATGCTCCAGAGTCTGTACATCAGTGAGGTCAAAGGCTGTGATGATCACTAGACACATAGGGAAAAGCCAAGAGCCAATCAGTAACAAGTGAAGCCAACAAAGTATGAAAAAGGCGCTCCCCTCAGACACATCTAAAGAACCCAAGGAACTCCCAACATAGCTTCTGGCCCTGAACCCCAAAGTAGAGGCTGGGGAGGAAATTCCCTATGGCTTCCCTCCAGGATCTGCCCTCCTGCTACCTATACCCAGCAGCACAGTCTCAGGGAGGAATCCAAGGAGGTAGGATGAGGAGACAGGAGCATGTGGCCTTGGCAACAGATACCCTCTGCCACTTATGGAGAAGGGAGCCTGGGCAAGAGTCTTAATGGCTGAGAGCCTCAGTTTCCCCATCTGTAAAATGGTCAGAATGATACCTCTAGCTCTCAGGGATGCTGTGAGGGCAAATAAGGGCAGCTATTTTGAAAACTATTAGTTTAGAGCCTGGTCATAGTTTCAATCTATGGCTATGATGATAATTAGCAACAACCAGCTCAATGGAAACAACTTCTAGGGAGTCAGATGAGCAGAAAACTGGATGTGCAACCCTGTTGTCAGCTCGTCTTGTCACTGGTACTCCCTTAGGCCCATGGTGTTGAGGTGGTTCCTGAGGGGAAGCCCACGTGGAGGACATTCCAGGCAAATATCTGTTCTCTACTACCCACCCCTGGGGATGTGAGCAAGCTGAACAGAGGATACCTCTGCATCTTGGCTGATGGCTGATGGCCCTCCTAAGGCAGAGAGGAATAGAGAAAAGGAGGACATTGATGATGGGGATAATGGCAGCCCAGCTGCTGATTGCAGAGCTGTGCCAGGTGTCTCACATCTCTAGCCCCAGGGAGGCAGCATCCCTCAAGGAAAAGAGATCTGGGAGGTAAAGGTTGCTAGAGGCCACAGTCAACATCACCAAACTATAGCTCTAACCCTAGGTGAGTTGCTTATGATTTGCTTCTGTTTTTGCTTCTTTCAAACCTGAGTGAAACATCTGAATTCTTTCACCACTACTGAGTAGGCCTAATTGTGACTTATACTTTTGAGTCTGGTTTGGTATCCTTTTGACAATTCTTACACCTCCCACTGAAATCAACTTCTATCTTTTTCCTGGGAAGCTAAGGTTGGCATGAAAAGCTTATGCTGCTGCCTCTGCTGAGTCCTACCAATGCTGCTGACCCCCACTTAGGACCTGCCATTCCTGTCAAGGTCTCCCTTTCATTCTTCTTTGGCATAGCCCTCTCCTAACAAGGCAGGACAAGTCTCTCTCTACCTACCACAGAGTCTGATGCTACCTTCTTTTCTGGGACCCCTGGACAAAAACATCCTTTCCTGAGCTGAAAACTGGAACTGAGACAGCCAGCACTCACCATCACAGTCTCCCTAAAAAAAGCATCATTGCCAAAGCTAGCCAAGGCCCTGCCTTGAAGGCAGCTTCCTCACTCCCAAGCACTGGCTGGAGTGTTTTCTCAGTGGCCTGTGCAAAGAACCTAGGTTTCCTGCTATTAAGCACAGCAGGGAGCCCCATGCTGCACATGGCTGAGGGCTCCACCCTTGTAACATTACTTACCCTGGGCACCTCGGTAATAGGCAGATGCAATGCACTTGAACTTCTCCTGTCCGGCTGTGTCCCAGCTGTGCAGTGAGGAAAGAGAAAGGAAAATGGTAGCAGGTTAAGCAATTATAGTAATCTGACCCTCCAGGCTAGTAGTATCATGGAGGGAGACCCAAGGACCTGCACCAGTTGTGTCAACAGTGTGGGCTACAGAAAGGGCTTATATGAGCCAACTATCCCTGCCACCAGATCCTGATGATCCCTCCAGTGAAGAATTCTCACCGGATTCACAGAGCTACTGGGGAGAGCATGGCCTTAGCAGTTCCACTGCCCAGATGAATGGAGTTATAGCTCAGTCTCTTCTGATTGTGACATTCAAAAGGAACATATGTCATTGGATTAGATAAAGAGGGATGAAGGGAAGGGAGGGGGGCTGGGAATAGGAAAGACAGTAGAATGAATCAGACATAACTTTCCTATGTTTACATATGAATATATGACTAGTGTAACTCCACATTATGTACAACCACAAGAATGGGATCCTTATTAGAATAAGTTGTACTCCATATATGTAATAATATGTCAAAAAAACCCAAATAAAATAAATTAATTAATTTAGAAAAAAAGGAACATATGCTCTATAGTGTGGTGTGGCTTACTCCCTGTGAATGGTGCTGGGTTCCAGGCCAGGCCTTCAGCCATGGCCCTCTGCCACTTGCTCATGTGTGACTGGGGCACTGCTTCACCTTCCAGACTGTAGTTACCAGGTATGTCTAACAGGGATGTGATTTGTATCCCCTGGGTAACTCTGATCAATTATCCCTCTTGCTCTTTAAAAGTAACACATTGAAATGGACTTAGAAGCTGAGCCACAATAAATTAATGCTATTTACCATAGGCATGATATAGAAGTTCTGTAAGCACATCCTGAGATCTATTTGCCCTGGTTTAGAACAAGGCAGGTGGTCAATATGCAGAGATAAGCCTGAAATTCAACAATGAATCTTTTTTTTTTTTTTTTTGGTACTAGTGATTAATCCCAGGGACACTTAACCAATGAGCCTCATCCCCAGTCCCTTTTTATATTTCATTATGAGACAGGGTCTCACTAAATTGCTGAGGCTGAATTTTGAATTTGCACTTGTGATCCTCCTGCTTCAGCTTCCTGAGCCACTGGGATTACAGGCATATGCTACCATACCCAGCTCCGAATACCTTTTTAAAGCCAACATATCAAAATTTAACTTTTCTCAGTAAATTGAAAAGTAAAATAAACCACAGACATGACATCAATGATCTAAAAGTTTTTTTCAAGTGATCCAGCATGATGCAGACTTTTTGGCTATCTTCTTTCATTTCTGGAGAAGATTCTGATTGGGGAGTTGGGGTTGGACTTAGAGATAGGGCCAGCTGGGTGGCTGTTAACAACCTTAATGTAAGAGAGACTGCAGCAGGACAGTAACGCTGTTTTGTTCTGGCAACTTTAATTAGATATAGCCTGTTGCTATAATGAGAAACCAGCCACTAGTCACTCTCTGCATGGCTCCATGTGGGACACCTGGCTCTTTGTCCTTCTCACCTTTTTAGATCCCTCAGTCTTACTGCCCTGATTTTCACAGTCTCTTTCACTCTGGATTGACTCTGTACTGTCCCTTGGACAAGATGTGATATCATCTGGCTCTAGGATAGCACTAGGACACTGCCTCAATAAGCTGGGAGCTGACATTCACAGGATCTGCAGGTCTAGCCTAGAGAGGGCACAGAGGATTGGGGGATGAAGCAAGATAGGAAGAAAGGGAAGGAGACCAGGACAAGCCTGGTTAATGCCAACGGGCAAGAAGAAAACAGTGGCCATCATGCAGGAGAGCAGGGAAGAGAGAGGGGCTGCTCAGGATACTGCGGGGGCCTAGAGCCTGAACAAGGTCTGTGGTATCTTTCAGGTGCCAGAGGAGTGAAAGGCAAGGTCCAGAGAATGTACCACTTTGGGCCAAGGTAAGCCTGGGTAGACCCTGGGCTGTTGTGAGAGAAAGTAAAGAGAGGAGTTGAAACTAGTAGGCCACAGAGATGCAGAGGCATGGGGTTAGGCAGGAAAGGAGATAGACAGAAATAGAAGGAAAGAGTAGCAGGGGGAGCAGAAGTTACTTGAGGGAAATGTATGAGGAGGAAGATGAGCACATCAGACCTGAGAGAGAGGTGTGGACAGTGTAGCCTCTGCCAGAACCCTCTTTGTCCAAGCCTGGCACTCAGGGACAGGATTTAGTCCCATTTTATTGCTGCATACAGAGGCTTATCAAAGCTACCTTACTTCCTGTGGAATCACAGGAGGTCCAGATTGGGGAAGGGCTTGCTAGAGTCTAGGAGCAGGACCAGACTTAGCAAGAGCAGAAGGCAATCAGTGGAGGTTGGAGATGGGTGGGAAAGTCAGGCTGTGAAGACCTTCCCCAGATCTGATCATCAACACAGAACAACTCCTGGGACTGAGGGAGGATCTGGGAACTCAGGGAGCTATAAAACCCGATTTCTCTCAACCACTCCAGGCTCTGCTTGTCCAGATGGGTCCTTGCTGAGCACCATGGGGTACAAATGAGAATGAGCTGGCCAACATTTTCCCCAGGCACCTCCTGAAAGTCCACACATAAGTCATGTGAGAATCAGCACCCACAACAGCAACTTACATCTGGAGGCTGTAGGGAATCCCAGCAATCTCAAATCGTTCAATTTCAAAGTCTACCCCAATGGTAGCCTTGTAGTCTCGGTCAAAAACATTCTTGCAAAACCTGTTGGAGGCAATAAAGCTATCAGAGAAGTATCTTCACAGAAATGGGCATGGAAGCTTTGCTCTTGATAGTGACACTATGTCTGGAGACAAATAAAGTACAATGATGGGAACTGATAAAGAAGGGACCATCCACAGAGGTTGCAAACAAGTGTGTTAGCTCTCTGTCACTAAACAATCACCTGAAATAACCAACTTAGGGGAAAGGTTCATTTGGGCTCACAGTTTTAGAGCTTTCAGTTCATGATATTAGCCCCTCTGTTTGGGCCTGTGGCAAGGCAGCATATCATGGCAGCAGCATGTGGTGGAGCAAAACCAGTCGCCTCATGGCTGGGAAGGGAAAGAGAGAAGGAAGAAGGGGTGGGGGTCCCATTATCCCCACTAAGGCCATGCTCCCAACAATCTAGAGACCCTTAAATATTCTACCACCTTCCAATAGTACCGTAGGTGGGGGAGCAAGCTTTTAACACATGGGGACAATTATTTAAACTGTGGCAACAGAGCAGCCAATAAGAACAAGGTAGGGGAAGAGGGGCTATGGCAGCCTCAAAGGCAAACACTGTAATTTAGAACAGTGAGAGAAACTAAGGGTTTATTCTCAGGGATGGCAGTGAAAGGGTTAGCCCAAGGTCCTAACAGTGTGAATAATCCCAGGCTCCTGGATTGCCCTACTGTCTGTCAACTTCATCATCTCCCCAGTTTCTTGCCCCTTCCCCACCTGGCTCCCACCAGACTGAGGCTAGTTCTCAGCAGCCACACAGTCCCCACTGTGATAATGTGGGTCTCCCAAATAAAGGTGACAACCTGATGCTGGGAAGTGTGGTCAACCTGACTGGGTAGGAAGGAGATGACATGGCCTTACCTGTGGATGAGACTGGTCTTTCCCACATAGAGGTCACCAACAACCACCACCTTGGAGAGTTTGAGCCTGGGAGAAATATGTCTGTGTCACCCTTGAGCATGGTTTCAAGAGTGTCTTCAGCACACACAACTCCTTCCTGAGTTCTTTGCAGTGAGTCACCCCTCAATCCTGAATTTAGCATGGGCCACACTGCTGAGCCTTTTGTTCTCCCTCCCTGATCTTCAAAGGGAAGAGTGGGAAAGCCTACATTTGTTTTGGGAACTCTGCTTACCCTGGGGATGTACCCTTGACCCCTCTTAGCCAAAATCACTGTCTTGAGAATTAGAAATAGACATGAGGAGAGGCTGAGTCATAGGCTAAGGGGGCAGAGGTGGGAGTACAAGTGGGGCTATGGTAACCAAGAATGATGGGTACATCTAATTTGGGGATGGCAGGGTGCCACACTGAGGATGCAGACCTGGGGCCCAAGAGTGGGGAGATACCGACACAAGGGGTGGGTTGGCAGCTTCTGTTTCCTGCTATGTACCCTCTGGGAATGTGTACCTACATGGACTAAGCTCACTATAAGCAGATAATCCCTGACCAGGAACCATTGTCACCTACTCACCTGGAGATGTGTGCAAGACTCAAACAGGCCAAGAGGTACGCCATGAAGAGAACTCAGGGTGTGCACATCTGAGCTGTGGCTTGAGGCAAATTTGCTATGAAGTTGTTGGGCTCCTTAGGGACACTGCTTATTGAGAGCAGCCACACCCTTACTATATATGTGTATATGTCCTGTAATCTGGGAAGCAGCATATTTGGGACTGTTGACAACACTTTCTTTCTGTAGCTCATTCTAAAGGATATCAATGGCTGAAGCAACCAACCCAGGGAAACATCAAATAGGCACTTCCCATGCTTGGAGACTGCAAGAGAACACCTCTGTGTTACCTGGTGACCTGACCTACAATTCAATTTACCACATCTGGTGAGGGTAGGGACTGTGTCTACCCTACTTCCAGGAAGCCCTCTTCTTCTGGAATAGGCTGACCCCGACTCCATTATTCAAACTGAGAAGTAAAGATATTACCAGTATTATGGCAGGTACCCTCAGTACCTTTTTCTCCCTACCTCTGGTGTGGTCATGAGGGGTCAGGGATTCAGAACGTGACTCTCACCCCATGAGCATGGCATGGCCCCTTTGACCATTCTGACTTGAGCTTTCACTCCCATTGTGCAACTCTGGGGAACTCTGAGCTGGGCTCTCTTTTGGCCTCACTATATCTGTGAGCACAGCCAACTCCCTGAGCAGACTGTGAGCAGGCCTCTATACCTGTTATTTAAGAAAGAACAACTGCAAAATCCTGTGCCAGTAGTGATAAGTACTGTTGAGATAGGAACATAAGAGGCATATCCCTGGCCCTTGTGGGATAGCTCTAGTGAGGAATACAAACAGGCAAAACAGCCCTAAGATAAGTTCTTGGGCTTCAAGAATTCACAGGAAGGGCACCCCACTCAGCGGCTTAGGATGGGGGACAGTGGGAGCAGAGGATCAGATTAGGCTTCCAAAGGAACTGACACAGAGAACCAAAGAGGAAGGGGAGGCAACAAGAGTAAGAAAGATGTTTCTGCCAGGCATGGGGTGCATACCTGTAATCCCAGTGGCTCAGGAGGCTGAGGCAAGAGGATCACAAGCTCAAAGCCAGCYTCAGAAACTCAGCGAATCCCTAAGCAACTTAGCAAGACTCTGTCTCAAAAAATAATAGGGCTGGAGATGTGGCATAGTGGTTAAGAGCCCCTGGGATTAATCCCCAGTACCAAAAAAGAAAGAAAGAACGAAAGATGTTATAGACAGTGGAAATGAACCTGTGTTGAGACCTCAGGATGAAAAAATCACCTGCATGAGCATYCGAGAAAAGGAAATGGCAGTGTGTGTCAAGTAAAGCCAGACAAGAAATCCAGTACTGGACTGTGTCAGTCTAGTCCATGTGTTTTCTTTGTTCATTTTAAAATTCATACTTGCATTTGTTCCTTCTGGTCATCTCTCCCAACATCTCACATCCCACAGGCTCACCCAACAGTCCCGGTGTTCCTGCGCTGGCAGGCTGCGCTCACTTGCCCATGGAAGTGCTCCTTGAGCTGCAGGCAGGCATCAGGTGTGTACCACTACAAAGAGACAAACAGACAAATACACAGACAGGCACACCATCCTGCAAAGATACAACAGCCCTGTCACCTGAGCTGGGCATCGTGGGTTTACCTACTTCCCAGTGCTCCCCCTGAGCCTTGAGCCTGGCAGCCTCATTGGCTTTCCCTATTTCCTGTCATATCATAGGCTGCAAAGTAGCCAATTTTAGTGAGCCGATTTTAGAGACAGGGTAACTGAGGCACAGAGTAAAGGGTAGCACTATGTGGACCCAATACAACCTGACTGGGAATTCCTCAGGTTTGAAGTGCTGTGGCCCTGAGGTACAGGATAGGCTTGGCCAGCAATGGCCTATGATCCTAACTACTGTAGGCAGAAGGAGAACAGATGCCCCAGGTAGCCTCCCTAGGGTGGGGCATTCTGGAACCAGAAGTAGYTGGGTTGAATCCCTGCTCTGCCACTCCGGGCTGTGTGATGTCATGCAAACTTTTCTACCTCTCTGAGCCTCATTGTCTTGATCAATATGTACTTCCTCCCATGAAACTTGGACTGTTTTGTGCCAATCATATTTCCCTTCCTTTCAGTTCATGAAATACCAGTCTCCACCATCCCTAGTTACCACTGTCAAGCTCCATAGAGGAAGCAATGGCCCAAGCTTTGTTGCAATGGAAAACCCAGCAGAACTGTCCAAGATCTGTGAGTGTGTGGAGAACAAACTTATTGGGGAAGGTGAAAAAGGCGGGAGAAGGAATAGCTGCAGACCTCAAACACCCAGAGCCTACAGGTTGGTACAGATTCCAAAATATACAAAAGGCCATTTGGTGGCTTGTACCAAGCCACACTCAAACACCAATCAACTGATGGCAGAGTTTTAATCTTCCAGAAATATTTTCTGTCATGTATTAACAAACACAGACACTGCTTTTCTCTCTCTCTCTCTCTCTCTTTTTGGTGGTGTGATGGATTGAATCCAGGGCCTCACACATGCTATGCAAGTGCTCTACCACTGAGTGACACCCCCAGTCACTGGAATGCTATTTTGGTAACAGTAACAATAATGAGAACAACAACCACCATTCCAACATGAGATGTTTATCCTTATGTAACAGTGGCTCCAAATTGCGTAACTTGCCTATGGTCACACATTTAATGAAGAAATCAGCATTCACACCTAGAACTGTCTGATTTATAAACTTCAGCCACACTGCAGCTCCCTGTCACCACTAGTCTGCCTTGGGCAAGTCAATATTCAGTTTTCCAGCTGCTCAAGAAGAAAGATCTCCTGGATTCACCTGCTTGATTTCTGGGGGTGACGGTAAGTTGAGGAAATCCGGGCATGGCCTCAGGGTCAGGAGAGCAATGCAGACAAAGAGCACTGGCCTAATGACTCTCTACCTTAGGAAAGTTGGTGATGATGCGGTCCCGGCTCACAGGGGGCCCCAAAGGCATCAGAGAAGACCTCATTCTTCCAGAGTCCTGTGGACTCAAACAGAGGAAAGAGAGTGTTAAATAAAATTCATAGGAGCCCATCATTTTGGATTAGCCTCCTTGCACTAGGCCTCAGCAGATCAGACCAAACCAGAATGTAGTCACTTGTGTTAGGTGCCACGTGATCAAACTGAACTCTGAAACAATCAGTTGTCAAAAACAAAACAAAAAAGCAAACAACAACAACAAAAAATCACCATGAGATTTATAGCAATTAATCCAAAGGGGCCCAGTTTACCTGAGTCAGGATGATATGGAAGTCCCTCCATTTTAACCTTGGTAACTTGAAACTAATCTGTTTTTTGTCCTATTTCTGCTTTCTTCAGTACTTTTCTGCCTATTAAACTAACCTCTAATCCACTGGCTATGGTGGTACAGGCCTCTAGTTCCAGCCTGGAGGCTAAAGTGGGAYGATTATTTGAGCTCAGAAGTTTGAAACCAGCCTGGGCAACATGGAGAAACTGTCTCAAAACAAAAAGAGGGAAAACAAACAAACAACTTCTCCTGCTTAGCTCATCAGAACACTCATTCTATTTTATAGAAAGATGTGTTGCTGGATTCTAGGATCATTTGCAAATAACACCAATTAAGATCTTTAAATTTGGCTGGGTGCAATGGTGCATGACTATAATCCCAGGAACTGGGGAGGCTGAGACAGGAGGATCCCAAGTTCAAAACCAGCCTCAACAATTTAGCAAAGCCCTAAGAAACTTAGTAGGACCCTGTTTCAAAATTTAAAGAAATAAAAATAAAAAGGGCTTGGGATTGTGACTCAGTGGTTGAGCCCTCCTGGGTTTTCAAAAAGAAAAAGAAAAAGAACCAAAACTTTAAATTTGTAATTTTCATCTTGACAAGAATTAGGAAGCCATGCAAATCCCCAAAGATGTATACCTAGGAGTTTCTGCCTAACTTTTCATCAGTTTTAAAACCAGATCTAAACCTCCTTCTGTAAGGTATATGGGGAAAAGGCCAATGGGGCATAAGAAGTCAGGCCATCTCTTTCCATCTGCAGGCAGCACAGTGTGAGGGACTCAGGCCTGCTGGACTCTGCCTGGGAATCAGAAAACATGGGTCTCTTCTTGACAGGTGTCTAAGCAGGAGAGGCTCTTTCACTGAGCTTAACTCTCTGGGGTGAGGCATTGCACAAAAGCCAGGATGAGGATCACAGCTCAGGTAATGAAAGCAGAGTAGGGAGAGTCCCCTGCTCCCAGTCTTAAAAGGATGAAGGCTGACTGGTCTGGGGACTTTTATGTTTCAGGCCTTTTTCCAGAAAGTCCTCATCCTACCCAGCGTCTGGTCCCTCAAAGCCTACTCAAAGCCCTCCACATCATTTTCTGGTCCGGGGCTCCCTCTTCCCTGTAGGGTGGCCCTGACCAAGGTCAGTCTGTTGTTCTTCATTTAACCGCGCTCCCCTTCAGGACCAGAATGGGCCTGGCCCCAGGCCAAAGGCTGGCAGACCGCGTATAAGTTCTGGGAGTAGGAAGCAGGCGGGGGGGAACCCTGACACCTTGCGACCCTAACCTCTGGAACGTGCCCGCACCGAGACGGAGGAGAGCCGACTTACCTAGAGAGCCTGCGAAGGTTCGGAGGTCGGCGAGGCCTGGTAGCGCAGCGCGCGCCCACCGCCCCGTGATCACCACGGCAACAGGGGCAACGCGGGGTTGGCGAGCGTCCGACGAATCCCGGACGTCGGGGGTGGGGTCTGGGCGGAGCTGATATGGAAAGAGTCCGGCTCACAGGCAGAACGGGCGATCACCATAGCAACAAGAGTCTCCCGGGGTCTGGGCCAGTCAGCCCAAGAAAAGACTTCCGGACGCGGCCTAAGCGCCAGAGATCACCAAGGCAACCAGGGCGGAAACAGGATAGGCGGGCGGTGGGCGGGACCAGGGAGCCCAGTGGGTGGAGCCGGAGCTCTATGGGGAGGAGGCCTGGATTGGGATTGACTTCCGAAAGAGGTTTGCGCGCGCTGCTCCCTCTGGCAGTCATCTCAACAGGGAGGAGGAGTAGTAATCATGGGATTCATGGGATTAGAACTCTTGCTGTATTATGGGATTTGTTCGGAGTTCAAGCACCCTGATGGTTGTTGTCTGATGTCTGCCATCTTCTGACCTAACTGTGTAGTTCTGAATCCGACGCTGTCTGAAAATCACATGCATGTCTGGCTTCCAGAGCTCATGCTACAAAATGAATTTCCATGATAAATGGGTGTTTAAAAGCTGACTGGAGCCGGGCGCAGTGGCACACGCCTCTCATCCCAGCGACTCAGAGGCTGAGGCAGGAGGATTGCAGGTTTGGGGTCAGCCTCAACAGAGTCTTTAAGCAACTTAATGAGGCCTGTCTCAAAAATAAATATAAAAAGAGCTGCGGGTGTTGTTCAATGGTAAATTACCCCTGGGTTCAATCCCCACTACAAAAAGAAAAAAATAAGGAAAAGTTGACTAAAGTTACTGAACTCCCCTGGGCTGGTTTGTTTGGAAAGTGAGGTTGTGTGTGGAGAACTACATGGTCTCCAGAGGCCCTTTAAAAATTTTATTTTTATTTTTTAGTTGTCAATGGATCTTTGTTTCTATATATGTGGTGCTGAGAATTGATCCCAATGCTTCACACATGCTAGGCAAGTGCTCTACCACTGAGCTACAACACCAGATCCTCCAGAGGCCCTTTCATAAAACCATGTAACTAGATTCAAAGAGGTCCTGGTTTTCCAGTTTTGAGAACCTATTTAATTCAGCTCCTTTTTACACAGACAAGAAAACTAAGACTCTTATACATATGAAAGGATTCAAACCTAGTGAGTTAGAATTAGAATTGAAACCCAGATTTCTTGACTCCCAGCCCAGTGCTCTTCACAGCACTTTCCTAAAACAATTAGAACGTTCTCCTTTTTTAAATTTATGTTTTAAAATTAATCTTTATTTTAAATGTGTGATTTTTATCATTTTGGGTGCAAAAAACCAGGTTGATTTTCATTATTTTATGTACTTTTAGGATGCTTCATTTCTCTTTTGGGTTGGTTGGAATCAAATTCATCCAAAGGTTAGCAGTGAGTGAGCAGAGCCAAACTGACTTTAGCCTTCTCTGTTGACTAGTTTTCCTTTCTTGATGAAATTTCAAGGAGGGAGTTTGAGACAATTTCATTTTTTTTTGGGGGGGTAGGGTGTATCAGGGATTGAACTCAGGCGTACTTGACCACTGAGCCACATTCCCAGCCCTATTTTGTATTTTATTTAGAGACAGGGTCTCACTGAGTTAATTGTTTAGTGCCTTTGTGTTGATGAGGCTGGCTTTGAACTCATGATCTGCCTGTCTCAGCCTCCTGAGCTGCTGGGATTACAAGCGTGCACCACAGCGCCTGGCTCATTTCTTTCTGAAGATTTCCTTCAGTCAGATAAGGAAAGTTCAGAGCAAGAGCTTCCTGTGGTTGGCTGTGGGTATATTAAAGGGACCTTGATTTTAAGCAGCTGCTAAGACTTCCAATTCCATTTAATTCAAAATTGTTTTAGTCAGCTTTTTCACTGCTGTGATTAAAAGATCTGACCAGAACAATATTAGAGAAAAAAAGTTGAGGGTTCATGGTTTCCAAGGTCTTAGTCCCTAGAAGGCCAGCACCAATTCCTCGGAGCTGGATTTGAGGCAGAACATCTTGGCAGAAGAGCATGGCTGAGGGAACCAGCTCATAGGATGATCAGGAAGGAGGAAGCAGGACTTTATCCTTTCAAGGACAATAGGGGACAAAGCAGATTTCTCTCCTCCTCCTCCTTCATGCTGGGGATTGAATCCAGGGCCTTGTGTATGCAAGGCAAGCATTCTGTCAACTGAGCTATATCCCCATTCCTACGGGGCAGATTTCTGCATCACAATATGATGTTCTTGATACACATATCCAAGTTAGTCATCTTTAATTCAGAACTAATATACTGGAGGCAGATGTTCCCATACTTTTGTTAATAGGTTTCATTGAGAAGGTCTCAGACCTAGGGGATAAACTTAGGTGAGTTGCTTTTTAGGCACCATAGTTTGCTCAGCTATGAGCCTATATACTTCAAGGGTTTGAAGATCACATGAGATAGTGATCTGTTAGTTGCTGAGGCTGGTCTAGAACTTGTGATCCTCCTGCCTCAGCCTCCTAAACCCAGGTTCTGTGAAAGTGCTTTTAGATTGTAAAGTTCCATTCAAATCCATTAACCACTTAGTTTTTTCTATCCTTACTGAACATCTCATGGGATATGCCTGGCCCTGGGGAGCCAAGGAAACAGAATTGATGTGGTTTCTATCCACAGAGAAGTTGTATATCTCTAGGGGAATCAGAAATAAATAGAGGGCTAGGGGTAAAATTCAGTGGTAGAGCACTTCCTTCGCATACCCAGGGCTCTGTGTTTGATCCCCAGCACCAGGAGGGAGTGTGACAGTGGGGGTGATTAGGTATGAGATATGAAATATCTTAGTAGTTTGGATTTGTTGAGGAAAAAAAGGTTCTTAGAGAAAGTGTCCACCAATTTGCCTCTTGAAGGACAAAGAGGTCATCAGAGTTACAGGCAATACAGGCTTTGGGAGGGAGCCGGTCATGGTAATGATATCTACAATCCCAGCTACTTGGGGAAAGCTACTGAACCTGAGATTCCTATCCCTAACCTGCATAATGTTAACCACCTCATGGCTTTACTCTGATGATCAAAAGCATGGAAAATGTTGGGCATGATAGTGCAGGCCTATATTCCCAGCGACTTTGGAGGTTGACGCAGGAAGATTCTAAGTTCGAGCAACTTAGTGAGACCCTGTCTCAAAGAAAAATAAAAAGGATTGGGTCGTGGCTCAGTGGTAAAGCGTTTCTGGATTCAATCGCAGTACGAAAAAAGAAAAAGAAAGTGCCTAGTACTGAGAAAGGCATACATTAGTCACTTCCTTTCAGTTCTGTACCTTGAAGAAAGCTGGGGGTGGGGGGTCACTTTTGTTCCCCATAGTAAACCTGTCAAACAT